CAAAGGAAACCATGGTCCTCTGATAACCAGTGCACGGAGCCTCTGCACGTCACTGAAGCAATGCCACGCCCCCTTCTGTCTGCTCACACTCGCAGTTTGCCTTTTCCTCAACACATTCCAGACCAAACACTGTCTAGTTTGTCTCCAAAATAAATGTGTAGGAACCCACCATGCTTTTGGAGGCACCTGATCCTTCTTGGGAGCTTCAAGTGTATCTGACATTTGCCAAAAAATGTGTTCCAATCCTTTGGTTTTCAGAATTGAAAATGTTAAGATAGAAATGGTGAACAGGGCAAACAGATTCCTAAAAGGAGGGACACTTCCTTTCCTGAACACACAAGAAAACTAGTCTGTAAATGAGTTCACAACAAACAGGGAGAACGAGGAAGGTAGTGGCCCACACCCCTGCTCCGGCCCAAACCTTCATTGTGGTCCCCGTGCCTCATGATCTGCCACCAGGAGTGGGCACAGTGGCCTCACCCCACTGTGAGGACGGCCCTGCATGCCAGCCAAGGCCTGGCCCACCACCTGCAGCGGGAGCAGCTCAGCTTGGGGCTCTGGGGCCCCACTTCTACTAACCCAAAGGCTGTGCATTTGGCAGCCAAACCCACAGCATGTGGCTGCCACGTCTGATTTTGTGGACAAAGCATGGAATGGCTTATTTGTATCTTTCTACACCAAAGGGACAAACTGTTGCATTCATTCTTTGTACTAAAGCCGCTTCTGCATTTGCTATATCTGTTTTTAACCCTTTGGTCTCCAGGGAACTTCTACGATGATTATGTATTCTGCTTATTTACTGAATTATTTTAGTTAGAGGTGATTTTATTTTCTTATGGACAGGAAAAAAGAAAACAAGAGAAGTGTTTGAGGTTTCAGTCACAGCGATAAGATGTCACCAGGAGCTCAAAAGCCCCAAACACCAGATAAATTACTTCTCAAAGGAAAACCTTAACCTGGACAGACAGGTTCCTGGCCCTCATGGTGGGCCTGCACTTTGGGGAACTGGGTGCTGGGACAGAGGATGGGGGAGAGAGAGACAGAGACAGAAAGGGAGGTTTGTACTCTCCTTCCCAGGGCATTTGGCCTCAGAATGGAGTGAA